CCTATTAGCAAAAAGAAAGGGACATTAAATTTTTAGGTCTTTAGTTATTACGAAGTTATAAATCGTTATATAGAGACAATCAGTAGTTAACAGAGAGGTAGGTTAGAGGTACTTAACGTTACACATCTGTTGTTTTTTGGCTGCTCGATCTCTTTGGTAATATATGCAATCCATGATAATGTGTTCCGGATCTTCAAGATTTGGGCAATGGCTGCATTCACCATTGGGATGTGCTTTAATTTTGTAGAGATGTCCATTTAGACCTGTGCAATTAAAACGGAGGCGTGTTATGATATCTTCTTGGTGTCTATTCGTACATGCATACGTGATGTGAGAAGAAACAACAGGAACAATTTTCTTCTATATATTTTATTGTTTCACTGAATTTCATCTGTATTGCCAGGAATCTAAAATGAATTTATCGACTTGGCCATAGAGGTCACCAATTTCAACAGAAACGTTTGTGACCCCAGGAGAACACATTACTTTACTTTTAGGCTTGTTAGGTATTTAGGTTAATCATATATCTCATTCCCCGAAGGGGAATGAAATATAACCGGGGGGCGGTCAGAAACTGTTGTTTCTCTTCACCCCACATTACTAGTCTGATTATTGTTTATATAGGCCATAGTTACAACAACAATTGTTATGGTGTGAACCCCTTTCACAAACTGCCGAAGCATGATTATAGTTAATTATACTTGTCATTAGACATTAAGTTAGGCCTGTTATATTTTTGAACACTACATTTTTAATCTATTCCATTATGGATGTTCGAGAATTAGAATAATGTATTATAATAATAGTATTTCAACTGTGCTGTATTCGCTATATCCATTACCAACGATATGTTTCGCTGAAGCCGAGTAGATCTTGTGTACATTTTACTTTCTAGTTATCAAACAATTTCACTCGCTCTAGAGAAGTTTCAGTCCAAAAAGAAATACATCAAAGTAACCTAACATTAATTTATTTACCCACAATTATGTTTATATTGTTTATATATATATGTCTCTTTGTGTGTGAAATGATTACCCGGATGATGTCATTTTTATAAACATGAAATTGATGATTTGTGTTCTTTACTTAAGTATGAGATTTTTCATACTAACTAATACCTAAACCACATCTTGTAAAACAAACCCCAATTATTATGATTGATCAAACACTTCTGCGTGCCAGTCAGAAATTTGTCATTCTATTTTCTCCTTCCTAACTAGATTTATGTCTTCAATTATTAAAACGAATTTAAGGGGAATTAGATCATGGGTGAGAAATCGGTACACATCCAAACTCTCTCTCTCTATCTTAGTACACTTGGTTTGTTTGCTAAACTGATATATATGTGTGTGTGTATAAACCACGTTGACTTCAATACTCAAAATAACCTCTAACAAATAATGTGAAAGTAGTATGTGCTAGGTTCTCAGTGTCACATAATACTTCCATTAAAATCCTTTATTTTCAGAAACCTAATTGATTTCGACTCTAATCACAATGAGCAATGGAGTCTGTTGTTGTTGTTGTGTTTTTTTTTCTGTTTGTTTGTTTCAGAAATTTCGCACAAAGCTACAAAAAGGGCTATTAGCACATAGCCGTCCCTAATTTTGAGATGAAAGGAAGGGAAGGGTAGCCAGACAACAACACCCACTGTCAACGTTTTTGTCCACTTTTATCTGGCCAAACAATAGGATCTGACCGTTACTCTTGTAACGCACCTACGGCTCCAAAGTGCGGAGCAAGTTTTTGCGTCAACGGTTGGCGAATCAGAATCCTCGGATTCACAATCCGAGCACGTTAGCCTCCAGATGACAGGGGAATCACTAACAATTCAACTAAGTAATTTCCCCAAAAATATACAAAGACCTTTAGAAGGAAGTTGGATCGTAAACATATAAATAGTTTTCCCTGCCGCGAAGGGATACTTTGCGGTGTCCGAAATAGCCTTGAGAATTATTCTTAATATGCGCAACTGCTCTGGAGATTCACGATATTAGGAATATTTAAGTCGTATTATACCTTTACTGTTTGTTTGTTTTGAATTTTGCGCAAAACTACACGAGGGCTATCTGCGCTAGCTGTCTTTAATTTAGCAGTGAAAGACTAAAGGGAATACAACTAGTCATCACCGCCAACGCTTGGGCTACTCTTTTACCAGCGGATAGTGGGATTGAACGTCACATTATAACGCTCGCATGGCTGAAAGGGCGAGCATGTTCGGTGTGACGGAGATTCGAACCCTCGATCCTCAAGTTGCAAGTCAAGCGTCCTAACCACTAGGCTTACTTTGTTCTGCCCACCGCGGGTATCGAAACCCGGCATTTAGCGTTATGAGTCCAGAGATTTACCGCTGAACCACCGGGATGCAGTAAGTATTTGAATTTATTGTTTTACAGTATTTCTAATAACAGTACTTTCTAGTGTTATTTCTATTCTTTTAACAAAGAAACAATCTACATACGTATTTTACTGCAACAAAGGTGAAACTTAATTTGACTAGATGAAGAATATAGTGCTTAAAAATATAATAGACCTAATATTAATGTCTTATGACAAGTATAATTGATTATAAACAAGTACGACTTCAATGCAGATAGCTGGCGAATCAATAGAAACCAGTAGGACTAATCTCTGATAAAAATCATGTAAACAGCAGATTCTTCTTAATTTAATCATCTCAGATTCAAAATCGAAAGCATGTAAGAATCACATTTCAGCTCTATCTTTTATCTCCATATTCACTGCCCAAGAGGTCTTTCGTGCTATACCAAAATTCGTCAGTTGGACAAGATAATGAGAGACAAAAGTTTCTCAGAAAAGCTATTTACATATTCAGCATAATACTGTAAAGTTACAGTTTAAATACCGAAAGCCAGCAAAGCATTAGACAGCAATAGGCCTAATATTTATGATAAAAAATCAAATAAACTGCAGATTTATTTTCCACATTCCTCTAAATCAGCATTTCCCAAACTATGTTCCACGGAACGCTGGTGTTCCGTCTGAGATTGATAGGTGCTCCGTGAGAAAATCATGATTTTAGATTTTAATAAAATATTTAACACTTTTTGTACGATCATAACTTATTATGAAATATTTTCCTATGTATTAGAATTAGATAATATCGATTTCGCATTGAAGAAGAATTATAGAAAATGTCATATCTATTCTACATAATATCTTAGTGGAGAGGTTTGTACCTAAAATATATTATAAGCATAAAAATGTAAAAATTCATTAATATGTAATTTGATTAAATAAATAAACTAATAATATATAAATCTAGAGGACGCTGCGCGCGCAACATACCCTCTACAGTCTACACCGATAATCCACGTGTCTAGTGTTCCGTAAGTTTTTTTCTCAGCTGAAAAAGTATTCCCTTTGCCAAAAAAATTTGGGAAACGTTGCTCTAAATTGAAGAGTTCTGGTATTGAACAAAAGGCATCTTGGGCAAAAATAATTCTTAAATGCCAGTTTTACATGCCTCTGGTTTTGAATCCGAAATGTAATAGCTTCGGAAAGTAATATAAAAACTTTCAACATTTATCTAAAAATTGCATTATTGACATGTGAATCAGCTAGTAAGGATGAACTGGTCTTAAGGGAATAGGGTTAATAATTTCAGTAAAAAAAGATACCAAGCAGAAAATTTCTGAGTAAGCAGATGTTTACTTAAACTAGACCAGAATCCAAACTCGTGATATGTTCGAGGTGTTCCGTGATTTATCAAGTGGTCATGCATTTTTAAATGGTGTAGATTTGTAGCTTTAACTCTTTAGAGCTTTTGTCTTACGTAATTTTTATCAGGTATAAAATGAAGAAATAAGACTAGCTGAACTATTTATGCGGACATTTTATCTTAATTAATAGTTTTAAAACACTATATTCTCATTATTCATAATTCTTAGTGTTATATTTGGTTACCAAGTAAACATAAGAATTAATTATGGTTTTATGAAATTACAATATTTATGTATTATCATTATTATAGAATGAAAAGGAGCAGGCCAAAACATTCGCGATCAAGCCCATTCCTTCGGCATCATCTAAACCATTAATCGTGTTCATTAACCCTAAAAGTGGTGGGACTCAAGGGGCCAAATTAATGCAAAAATTTCAATGGTTACTCAACCCTCGACAGGTGTTTGATTTAACTCAGGGAGGTCCTAGTGCTGGGTAAGTAACTGGAATTTTACAGAGACGAACACTTGATCTGTGCGCTGTTTGCATTATTGTAAAAACTGAAATCTTAGAATTAATTATTTTATGCAGAACGAAAGTTAAAAATATGAATGAAAAAATATACTCGACTAAACATATAGCATATACTAAAATATTTATCTGGATTTTAAATGTCATACAGTCACGTTTTTGTTTACTCGTAAAGCCAGCAGTCTGACACAGAAATAGATAAATATTTGACATTTACATCTGTTAGGTGATGACGGCACTCCAATATATGTTCAAAATAGTAACTCTGTACACGAAAAAATATGTACTGTATGCCGAATATGGCAAAATATCGCATGCATGGCGTCTGATTCAAGGGCTTTATCACGAAAAGTTAAACCACTCTATGTTGGTATGGTCACTGAACTTAGGTAAACCAGATCATCACAGTTGTTAATAATTTATATATATATATATACATTGAGATCAAATTCTTGAAAGCGACCATACTAATGACTTTACATTCGGAAAGAATAGCAGTTCAATTCTTATGAGTATTCAATATATATTTGTATTTATCTGTACCAGATCTCAGTCTAACCGTCAGTGATAACGATAAACACTACCTTTATGAGTCAGTAGTTTCTTTCTAACAAACTTACCTATTGCACGGTGTGTTTTCCTTAGTTATGAAATCAATACCATTTACTTAACATATTAGGACTAAGGATTTAGATAAGCAAACTTGTGTCTGTTTCTGTGTGTACAGGAAACAACACGTTGGTTTTTATGTGATCGATATTTCATGTTATTCATATTCTTGACTAATTGAAAAAGTTGAAAATACATCGTTCAGTTATTGTTTGCAATTCTATCTTATTAGTTGTTGTTTTTTAATAATAGTTTATGTTTCAACAACAAATAAAAGTATTCTTGTACAAGCCCACGGCGGTTTAAGAGTTTATGTTTCAACAACAAATAAAAGTATTCTTGTACAAGCCCACGGCGTTTCGATTTTAGTTCCAAGAACATGACAAAAGCTGAAGATGTGCTTTAGTATTTTCTTCTTTCACTGAATGACTATTTGATATTAGCTTTTTTACGATGATTTCTTATGACTTTGATGCTGATAAACTCATCCAAGCAAATTTAACATTGCTCTTTTGATGTTGTATTATTACAAGCCCTGAAGAGTTTACTCTTAAATGCGTATTGGATATTACAGACTAGAATTGTATAGAAAGGTTCCAAACCTAAGGATATTAGCCTGTGGGGGCGATGGAACAGCTGGCTGGGTTCTTTCTGCTCTTGATGAAATAGGCTTAAGTCCCTCTCCCCCTGTTGCAGTATTACCTCTAGGTACTGGAAACGACTTGGCTAGAGCACTTGGCTGGGGTGGGGTAAGTAGTTTGCCATTATATATTAGAGTATTTTATACAAATATTTATCATTGCATACATACCCTTATACTATTGTTTTGTTTTTTTTACTTAGGAATTAGTACCCAAAAAGAACAGTTGTTTTTGGAATAGAAACGAGGATATTTAGAACATTTCGTTTATCGAGGTTTCAGCCTTCTTGTGATTATACGTATTAAAATGATATCAGAGTAATGCTTGACTTCTCGTAACAATATTTTACATTTATACGTAGTTAAAACCTGTTAGCAATAGTTTTAAAGAACAAAGTAAACTGTACAATGAACGAGGATTTGACCAGATCCTATTAAAGGTCAGTATAGATAAACTTCTATTTAAGGTGAAAAAAAACCTATAAGCTCACATTGGATAGCAAGTCCTATGAAATGACCAATTAGGAACTGTAGTTTCGAATAATAACAGATTTAGTCAACCTAACTGTAAGTCGATAACAAAAACTGTCACCCAAGAAAGTGTTATACGACTTAAAATGTGGAAAATAAAAGAATACATAGATGCATCTGTATCTACAAATTACACCAAAACGTATTCTTTCTTTAGCTTACTTTTTTATTTTGTGACTACACTTTAAGTTGTGTATTTAATACTTCTATTAATGTATCTTTGAGCGTTTATTTCTTTATTAATGTTTTTCAACAATGTTTTAGGGTTACACGGATGAACCGATTTCAAAGATTCTCTCGAACATTCAAGCTGGAGATATAGTTCAGCTAGACAGGTAGGTCACATTTAGATACAATACAAAAGGAGTTTTTAACTTTAAATGTAAAAAGCATAAAGTTTTAAAGGACACTACTTATGTCTGATGATCAAATAAAAGTTCCAGTCAAACATAACAACTGAACTCGGAACTAGTCAGCCCATCGCGCTTAAAGTTTATAACAAATATCAGTATAACAACTGAACTCGGAATTAGTCAGCCCATCGCGCTTAAAGTTGATAACTCATATCAGTATAACAACTGAACTCGGAACTAGTCAGCTCATCACACTTAAAGTTGATAACCAATATCTGTCTAACAACTGAACTCGGAACTAGTCAGCCCATCACTCTTAAAGTTGATAACAAATATCAGTTACATCAATTTATAAGAGCCATTTGAAGAACGTATTGTGTTTATTATATACCTTAAGCATAATTAGATACATATAATTTATTATGCTTTATTATCTAAGCATTAAATTATATGCTAGCTTTGTTATGTTGCTATCTCTGCTTATAGATGATTAAGTTTTCTTATACAAAGGCTCTGTTCATCATTGGCCTTAGCTAGATTTAGCACAAAAGATCCTAATTAATTAGGCCAATGACAAAAAGAGCTTCCACATAAGAGAGAACTTATTCATTCAAAAAAGAGGCCGCAAGTTAGCCAAGTCAGTTCATCATATAATTTTCTTCTTAAGATATAAGACCCTAAAACCATTGAAAGTAATTGAAGATTCGTGATTTTCAAATTCTAATAATTTACTTTAATGGCTTACATTTGAAGCTTGTGTGAGTTTGTTTTATATTTAATTAGGCATTTACTTTGCAAGAGTAGGTGCGTTTTTCTTTGAACTATTCATCAATAAAACAGTATGATTATCGACCTGATGCCGGATTACTAACGAGAAATAACATTGTTTTTGTTTTACACCAAAGATAATCTACTGAAGTTATAAACAAGTATTCACGCAATTTAAAAATAGTTTATCTTTATTTCCTCTTTTTGAACAATTTATGTTACTTTGAGTTTGGCTAATTTGTTTATTAATATATTGTGACCTAAAAACTTTTCTTTCTTGACGATCTACTTTAAAATAAGACTCATTAGCCTAGTTGTTTATGTATTAGGTGGCAGTGTCAAAGATGTTTTATAACATCTCCTTGTCAACCAAGTGGTTGTAATTACAATAAGCAGATCGAATTTCATAAACTTTAAATTTATATTTCTTAGGTGGGACATACAAGTTGAGAAAAATTCGGACGTGGACCCGTCAACTTGTGAAGAGGGCAAAGATAACTTACCCCTGAACGTCGTCAACAATTACTTTTCTCTAGGTGTTGATGCCCATATAGCTTTAGAATTCCATGAAGCGAGAGGTGAGAAAATTTAAACGTTCGAACTTTATGTATACGTCCAGTGTTTAACAAATAAAACGGACTACACGATGAAGCAAATGGTTTTATTAAAATTTAATCAGTTTTTGAGCTCCAGTCTTTGAAACAAACTGTACCTATTTTTCAAGCTCTGAGTGATGTAATGTTTTATAATTAGTAATAATAAAAATGTATGTTATTTTGAGACAGCAAATTTTTGGTTTTATTATACGACTAGAAAGTATTACAGATGTAAGATCAGTGAGATAAATACTTTCGAAATTGTTATAAAAACGGATAGATAAAAAAAAAAAGATTGTGCTGAAACCTCAACAAACATAGTTTAACTTGACAATATTTCAGTGTTTTGTCCAGATAAGTTATTTAACAAACTAAAGATTAAAATGGTTTATGTTATAAACCTAGAACAATAAGCATGCCTTTTAAGAATTACCAGAAATGTTAAAAAAATAAAACTTTCAATTTTGTTGTATGATATATATTAAAATCTGTTAAAATATCAGTGAATAGAAACATTGAAATAATTTTGAGCAAAAATAATACGTTTTTTTATCCACATTTTTGTATTTATTTATATATACACATGGCATTATAGCCAAGTACAATCAAGCATAGTAGCAAATAACTTTGTGTTTATCCTCCAGTATTTATTTAGTAATACATTTCTGTAATTTAATATCAATGGTATTATAGAGGCTCGTCCAGACAGATTCAACAGCAGGCTTAGAAACAAAATGTTTTATGGACAAGCTGGAGGAAAAGACTTATTACAAAGAAAATGGAAAGATCTCTGTAATTTTGTGACGCTTGAGGTACATTCCTTAGAACTGTATCCTGGGAATAATTTCCGATATTCCAAACTTCAAAGTAAAGAATAGGTTATCTTTACAAAGTGTAGCAACTACATTGAATGAATGTCTTGTATTTTGCAATTGTTTCTTTGTGTGTATGTGGTATGTGATTAGTTCAGCGCACACAAAAGCAAAACATACAGTAATGATACTAAACTGAACTCATTATCATAAAGTAACGTTCTTTAAGCCAACACAAAGAGTAATTCACCTCGATACTACGATGCTGTAACCCACCATAAGATAACAATAAAGCTGAAGCATTATCGTTATTAAAAACATTATTTTACTAGATTGTTAACGTGTTTTTCATAATTTAGTTGTTGACGATTATGCAATAAACTACGGTAATTTGCTACATATTGAAATGTGTGGTGAAAAACAATGTTGTAGAAGTTACACTGGATATTAGGATCTCCCCTCCCTCCTCTCAACACTCTCGTAGAATAATTATTCACTTAATAGACTCGTGTGACGTACCAGCCCATTACTTGGGCCCTGTAAGGTGTAGTCTTATAGCAGTTATACTCCAAGGTAAGGGCCTCTCTGACTTTAAAATAACGATTGACTGTCTAGCAAAAAAAAAAAAGTTATTAAATTATTAAGAATTATTGATTGTTCAAAAACGTTAACATTAATCAACATTTACAATCGTAAGGGAAATGCAATTGCCAGAAATTTGCGTGAAAATACGAAAAAATATTGTTGTTAGTAATGTCCTGTTAATTAAGTGGTTTTGGCACAGGTGTATGTCGCTTGAGACCGTGCACTATATAGTAGAGTAACCTAGCGTTAAAAATATTTGAACATGTGGTTAACTTATTTAAAGCAATCACACATTTGGAGTAAACTAGACTTGAATATTGTGATGTTTGAATGCACAAGCGAAGACATTGACAATAGGTCATTTTAAGTTACGTGTTTGCTAATGAAAAATAAAATAATAAAAATCTCACGATAAATTTTAATAATGCTAATGAACTTATGTATATAATATATAATTTTCACGTACGCACACACATGTGTATATATATATATATATATATATGTAACATCTTACTAGAGTAGCAACCTTTTTACGTAATTATGCAATTAAACACACCAAATGGACACTTGTATATCCTGAGGATTTTTACTTTGTAAAGAGTACATTGGTTTCTTTCACGAGCACCAGTTAAAGGACGCCTTACAAATTTATTAATTAATTAATAATTAATTTGCATGCATTAAGCCATCGACACATGAGAATTATCTTCGAAAGCTATATATTTGACAATAAAACTAATATTACTATTTCCACAGTAATGCAAAACCATCAAATCAAGCTATCTAAAAAGTTTCTAGATGCACTCTATTGTTGTTATTGAACTAACTTATTATTGTAATGAAAAAATGCTTAATTGAAGATAAAGTAGAATTCTGATGCAAAATCTTGTTTCATTTATAAAATATACATATAAGAAAAAAACAGGATCAGATGTTTAATGAAACGATGCTCCTTAATTAAACCAACAAATCATATTGATTTTAATTTTGTAATAATTTTATAAAATTTTATTCTTGTAAAATTAGCCTTTCTAGTAAATTATATATTTACAAACTACTCTTCAAAATTTATTTTAGATATTATTAGATTATAACTTTCTTATACTTAACGCTTGTGTTTTCAATGTTAACTAAATAAAAAGAGTGAAACCCGAAAGTAATCTCACAAGTTCTCTATACTTTCAATCATCACTATAATAAAATAAGATGGTTTTAATTTGAAGTATGTTGTACGATTTGGTGTATTACACACAAAAAATGTTGTATTTAAAAGATCTTTGCACTAACATCTGACAAAATATCTCTAATTTTTCTAAAGTAACCTGGAGTTTATAATGTTATAATATTTACCTGAAAAAAACATATAATAATATTACGCAAAAATATATATATCCCTAGCGTATTAACAGTCAAAGAAAGTGATAATTATACTTATTAAAACATACTATATCAAATACAGAACTTGTGTGATTTCTAGTGTGATGGACAAGACTTGACCCCAAGGTTGAAAGAACTCCGTATCCATGCTATATTGTTTTTAAACATCCCCAGGTTAGTGCATAGAAATAATATTTTTTATTTGACTCGATTTTCAGTATTTTTCATATTTATGGCTGTGTCAATGAGTTATCTCGCGAATATTTAAGCTTCGATGCTTTTCTGACATTGTACACTTTTGTGGAGTCATTTTTACGTAGTCAATACGCGTGTTTACCCAGAAAATATATGCTATTTACTTTTTTAGATCAAAATAACATTATTTTTATACGGTTTTCACAAGGAGTGGCAAGTGTAGAGTGTAGAAAATTGTTCAGGTGATCTGTTTTATTTTTATTTTATTTTTTTTACAGAAACAGTTTGAAGAGTCTACATAATGTTTATTTACGTACTAGGTCCAAAGCGAGAGAGCGTAACGTACCAATTATACATTCAAAACAATAGCATGCCATGTTATTCTTCTTGTCCTTTAGATTTTGTTTGTTTGTTTGTTTGAAGTTAAGCACTGAGCTATACAATTGGCTATCTGTGCTCTGCCCACCACGGGTTTCGAAACCCGGTTTCTAGCGTTGTAAGTCCGCAAACATACTTGGGGGGGGGGGAGCGTCCTTTATGTACAAGAAGTACTGAAGAAGCGTAGGTGTTATAGAAGTAGTTAAGAAAAACTATAACATTTGTTCCTGGTGTGTAAATGCAGCCAAAAGTCACACAGCATGCTATGTATTTCTTATGCTATAGGCTTACGACGAAGACATATCATGACATGGGTTACAAATATGTGTGAAATTTATAGTGTGCAATATGTCATTGGTGTTATGGATATGGACTAAAGACATAGTATGCCACTGGTGTTTTAGCTCTTGGGTTTATACTGGTAACGCTTATTTAAAGGTTCCTTGGTGAGTCAACGGCAAGATTCCGGACTTACAATGCTAAAATTCAGGGTTCGAATTCTCACGGTGGACAGAGCACAGATAGACCGCTATGTAGATTTCCACTAAAAATAACATCTTTAAAAATTACTGTTAGACAGCGTTGAAGGCTAACCTATGAACGATTATTTGTTTTACATTTGATAAAGTCAGGTTTATCACGTCTTTAGCGGACAGTTGTCCTTTATTAATTTTTGTATTTTAAATAATATTTTCTTGTGGGTTTTGATAAAGGTATTTCAGTAAAATGGATTCACAAGTTAGAAGGTACTTTTGAGGAAGCATTTCGTATTAAAAAACAACTTACAGGTCATAATAAAGATCTTGCTTTAACTAATACGCAAATGATTATTTTATTAATATTTCAATCCTTTATTACAGAACTCGAATACAGTATAAAGGTTATTATTGGTCTTTGGAATAACAGTAATTTTTTACATCAAGTTAGTTACAGATTCAATTGTAGAAAAAAAAAGGACTGAAGACTAGACTGAAAATGTTCAAATACAAATGCGCATTGTCACAAAATAAACCAAAACATTCGATAGTCAATAATCAGCATCGTTCTCATCGTTCAGGTGCTTTGAATTTTATGAAGGAAGATTGCGTGTGCCTTTTAAATTTTACCCGTTATTTTTTTAAGCCTTGAATATTCACAATGATTTTATCATAGAAGTTGACGAATTAGTTTTTCAAATGAAGAAAAATTTTTTGTTGTTGTTGTTTCTTCCAGTTATGGTGGAGGAACCCGACCTTGGATAAGTCCTGGAGCAAGTTTTGAACTTCAAAAGACAGATGACGGACTGATAGAGATCATAGGCCTCACAACTTACCAACTGGTAAGTAATTATTAGGGGGTCTACATATTAACCATTTGATTTTAAACTATCTTGGTAACACATTTTACGGTATTATTATGGTGCATATAAACCAGTCAGATTAGCACTCGTGATTGTCCCATATTTCGGTTAACTTCTAAACACATTGTGCCATAAAGTACAAACTGGAATGTCATGAATACCAGTATTAGATATAGATTAAGTTACCGTATTAACTCTGAGTGGTGTCACAAACAATGTGTTACAGGCAATGGATATCATACGTAAATATCTTGATCTTTGATATCTCCGCCTCTCTGGTGCCTCAATGGTAAGTGTAAAGGCTTATAACGCCTGCGGTGGCTCAAAAACTCCATTTTGTAATTTTGTGTTTAACAACAAACTTTTGTTGTTGTTGTTGTTTTATAAATTGCGCTTACTCTTTGTAGTAACATGGATATCTTTGTAATTCAAACGACCATATTGATTTTATTTTGATAAAAAAAAAAAGCTTAACCAGAAACTTTCTGATTTGAATTATATCTTAAGATTCGAAGGATATTTTTCTGTTAATATATAATAATGTTTATAGCTGTTCATAAATTCAGAACAGAGAATAAGCAAAAACATCAAATGGATAATTACATGATTGAGTATGTTGAGAAGATAGATAGGCATTTTGTTTAAATTTGCATTGTGGTATATTTCCTCTCAGCCATCCAAAATTGCATTTCAAAATAAACATTTTTTATCACGATTAGTCTACACTTGGAAATAAAGGAAGCAACAAACTCGAATTCGATGACGAGGAACCCACTTGGGGGCAGCTATAATGGGTAATGAACAAAAACTTTAAGTTGAACATAACAGCAAATGTACAACGTTTTGACAAGGTTTTGTCATCGCTTTTATTTCCTCCATATTCTGCACGTGAATCGATGTAGTTATAGATATATTCATTAAATGAAATTTAATTGCTGACTACTTTTTGGATAAGTGAACATCTAAATTAATTTCATCCGAACCTTTACAAGTATGTTAGATATATCTACTCTGTGCTTGAGTGTATTGCACATAATAAAAATAACAGAAATTTGTTTACAGCCCTTACTCCAAGCAGGAGGACATGGAACCTGTCTTGCTCAGTGTCGACATGCACGCATGGTCACCACTCGTACAATTCCTATGCAAGTGGATGGAGAGCCATGTAAATTGCTTCCTTCCATAATTGAGCTTTGCCTCCGGAACAAAGTCAGTATGGTTGCTAAAGCAAAGGTATATCGTTTTATAAATATTTTTATATATTAGAGCGTGTGTCTTAATTTGCTATCTTGCTGTACTAGGACTTCCACGCTACTATATGTTAAAGTTATTCTGTTAAAAGTTTCAAGAACAATAAATGTTATGCTATTATTTGTTTTCATTCCTTCTTTCGAACTAGGGCTAACTGTTTGGTAAAGTGATATGTAATTCTTTCAGACTTTTAAAAATAAAAATTCTTGACTTTACTGTCAATTAATATTTGTTAATGTGCATTCATGATGTTACGTATTACAATTTCGAATGGTCTGATACCGAGCTAAATGATAATTTAAATGTAGTTGTTAAATTAAATGCCGATATGTATCCAATTTATGATATTTGCCAACAAGATTGATACAAACAATTTTTTTTATACAAATATATTTTGATACACAAACAATAATACAATTTACGATAACAGTTATTACAAATAGTTATTACAAACAATAAAGTATTCTTTTTAGTCTGGAACTTCCTTGATGTCTTATCGAGGATTCACGATGAGTGAGTTAATTTCGAGTTGACGTAGGTACAATTCACTTAATAGGGAGCTAGATAGCTCTATAGTTCTTGCTGATCACATGCAGATATATTTCCTACCGGTGACATTATATAATGTTTTCGTAAAAGTATTAATGTTCGATGTGAATCCACTGAGGTTAGATGGTTTGTAACGTTCGAAATTTATAAATGTTCATGGTCAAATATCTCAAGTTTTCCGATTAATAAGCGTTATAACAATCACAGTTATAGCTTCCGAAGTTTATAGCACACCAACTATAGCAAACCAATAATAGATACTGTTTTTGGCGCGTCGCGTTGGTTATAATTATAGGCGTGTGGAGAATTTCTCGAAAATTCAGATTACGTAACAATACAAAGATACGCTAGCGTTTACGTACACACATATATTGTTTATTCTTATACTCAAGAATCTCCTACAACTTTAGAGAATAGGCGGGAATAGGCGCAATACATATTTAACACTATAACCTATGCATATTTATAAATAT